AGAGGGAGGTAAGTGACCATGGGGTTTGGAGTGAAGCAAATCGGAGTTTAAATGGGAGATCTCAGATGGAGTTTTCTGCATTCTGAGTTTCTCCCAACAGCTGCTTTGGGATGGCCACACACGGTGCTGTCCCCTTAAGAGCCTCCAGGGAGGCTTGCAGAAACTGGTCACAAAGAGGGGGATTTCCTTCACGTCTCTGCCTTTCCTCAAAGGGATACAGTTGTTTCAAACAGAACCTTGTTGCACCACTTAGGAAGGAAAAAGGCATGAGAAGAGTGATTTCAGACCAGATTTCAGAAATTTAGTAATATGCTTTCTCTTTGCTTGTCTCGTCAAAAACAAGGGAGATTCCACTTCAAGTTTTGAGAAGTTTTATTCTACCAGCAATTAAAATTTGCTCTTTATGATTCTGCTTCCAGTATGGAAGTATGTCACTTGTCTCTGCCAGTCTCTTTGATATCAGCCATTTCCTTTCTCTTCTCATACTGTCAGTTTTGACTTGAACATCTTTGAGTGTTATCATCCTTATTGCAAAATTGAAATGTCTGTGAGAAAAATACTCTCAAGACTTCTAGTTCTCCCCCCCCCATCCATTTTTTATTGTTTTAGAGAAAAAAGGTAGTGGTGGTAGACTACTTTTCTTTCGTCCTAAAAAGGGATGAAGTTGGGGCTGAGGTTGTGGCTCGATGGTAGCGTGCTCACCTAGCACACATGAGGCACTGGGTTCAATCCTCAGCACCACATAGAAATGAAATAAAGATTGTATTCACCTACAACTAAAAAAAAAAGGAGTGAAGTGGTGGCCAGCAGAGACCTCAAGTTATTTTGTTCTGAATCAGAATACAGGTAACCCAAAGCCCTCCAGATCTGTACTGAGGAAAATTTAAGTTCTATCAAGTACTCTATCAAATATCTCTTTTTAAAAAATGTAAGTTTATCACACAAAGTAATTTTCAACAAACACTGAACTTTGTGTGGTATAAGGTCTTGATTACCATGTTTTTGAGAACTAAATTTCTTCAAATGCACTGCTTCATCATTTGTTGTTAGATTACACACACACACTTGAAGAACCAATTTGCTTTTCCCTCTTGCATGAGAGTAAAAGGAACTGGGTTCATCTCCCAACATAAAATCAACGAAAACCTGGGCAGGACATGAGACAACAAGAGTTCAGATGTTGAAAACAAGCTTTGTGGCAGTGATCTCTGAGGGAGTGGGACAAATGAGCGGACACTAGTAGCCCAGTTTATGTCTGCAGTTTCCAGGCCACTCAGCACAGGGAGGAGGAGCTACACATATTCCAGTGACTCCTTGTATTCAAAGATTAGGCCTTGGGGGAGTTAGCAGCTAGAGTTCTCAGGCAGGGTGCAGGACTGCACAGATCTGCAGAGGCTCTCCCAAGTCTTCAGCTCCAGGTGTGCCTGTGAACACACTCCTAGAGGCTACGGAGAGATCCACCAAGACACAGGCAGAGTCCCTGGAGCTCCTGATTGCCCAGGTTCCCACAGCCTTAGTGGACTCACTGCCCCTGTGTCTTCAGGCATTTCATCTGCAGTGGGCAAAATCAGCCCTAAAGACCGCTCTGGTCT